TAAATGAAATAAATTAATAGGCTACCATTCAAGCAGTTTTCCCCTGTAATATTATTGTGATTGCAAAGGACTACATTTAAACTTATGCATTCTCCCACGCCGTCTCCCTCTCTTTTGCAGCTGCAGCAGTGTTGCACTTCTTTTTGAAAACGTGTGCAAACTCGCCGTATGAGCGCATTAAGATTTCTAATTCTAGTGGGGTGAAAAACGCAGCCCTCCTCTTCCCCGTTGCCATGGTGACTCGTCGAATCGGGGCTCCATTGATGCTGGCTTTTTATAGTTGTGGTGCACGCGCTTAACTCCAGGTGAAACTACTCCGAGTTGATTAAACTGATTCAAATCAGCTGTTCTGGAACTGGAAACTCAGAGTTTCCTATCTCAGAGTAGATCAACTCAGAGTTCAGGATTAGACTCAGAGTTTGTTGAACCTTCTTTGTGAAACGGACCCCTGGGTGACAGCAGCTGTCAAGGCAGATTTCAAACTGCCATCATAAATTCAGTTATCAAGACAAAAATCTGAAAATACACATCTTGCATCTAGACAGCATGGAGATGTTGTTAGTTTGCTTTTTAACAATGACTGATTTACTCCATAAGTGAAAAACTGATGTGTAAAGATGCTCTATTCCCATTGACAGCAATGGATCACATGATGACAGAATTCAAAATGCTGTCAAAAATTCAGTTTTTGATATAAAATTCTGATATTTGCCAAACATCATCTACCGTGACTCCAAAATTTTGTTAATTTTTTTTCATGAACATTGAAAACTTATTTAGCAAGAATTTGCATGTATATGTTTACAATACCGTTTAGTCACAGATAGATCATGGCTCTAAAGATTGTCCTTTTTATTTTATTTTGTTTTACTTATTTTTATTGATCTTTACTTGCAGCTTGCGTATATGTCATGTTTATTATTTTATGTTGGTGTGATGGCACTGGAAAATGTTTTGTTTAAAATGTGTCTGAATAATCCCATGAGGGATGGGCTGCCTTAGGCAGCCAGACACGAAAACAAAATTTCATTCCTTCATAAAATTTAATTCATTCATACAGTCAAACATTTTGATGCACTGTAGGCTCAATTTTTGATAAATCAAAAATCTGTGAGGACAGTTTTTGTAGGACAGTCTGAAGATGCTCTGTAGCAAGTTTGGTGTCAATTGAGCAAAAATTGTGGGAGGAGATAGGTTTAAGAAGTTATACAGTTTTTGAAAAAAAAAACAGTGATAGACTTCATAATTTTAATAGGTTTAAATGTACAAAAGTTTCTTCAGTATTGGGGCTACAGTTTGATGAAAGTTGTGAAGCTATAGCACATACAGTTGATTTTTTGTGTCAACGTTTTGAACTTTAGATGTTTGCTGTAGTGCCACCATCAGGACTATTGACTTGTGTTTGCAGCTGAGCAAATCTGGCATGAGACTGGACCTTTGTGCAAAGTTTGGGGATTTTTGGCGCATGGGAAGTAGGATTTCCTCGGAAGAAGAAGAAGAAAGAATGAGCAGGAAAACAAGAGGGTCCTGGCAGGACACTGGACCCAGAGGTTTTCAATCTAGCTTTACAGATATTACTGTCTTAAATCTTTATTTACTGCTCGCAAAAAGAGTTATCTCACTATATCGGAAAAAGACCGGTAAACCAAACTTCATTAATTGGATTAAAGAGTTATCCATAACTCTACCTCTGGAAAAGATTGCATACATCATGAAAGGGAATCAGTCACTCTTTGAAATCATCTGGGGTCCTTTTCCACAATATATGAGAGCGTTGGTTTAAGTATTGTGATGAATGTGGCGACGAGATGTGAATGTAGTCGTCCTCTGCAGTTGCTTGAACCTGACCTGATTGTAGTGGTATGTCCCATGTGAACTATGTCTTTGTGTTTGATACAAGGTACAAACAATAACAATGAAAGCATGATGTGAATATAACAGCATTGGAACCCTTTGTGGAAAACAGAGAAACCTCCCTTTTCTATCAGTTTGTTTTATTTTATTACATATAATTTATTGTTTTTATTTTTGTTGTTTGCATTTTGTTATCTTTAATAGCCCCCGTTGTTTGCGACATTCTTCTGGATGAGATAACAGTTGCTTCTGATAAGTTATTTGAAAATTAATAAAGATATTGCTGCAAAATATGAGCCTAGCAACCTTTAAATACATTTTGTTTTTTAATAGAACCATTTCACCCCGAATCCATGTTTAAAATATCAAAGTGTGAACATTTCCAGGATTTTGATTTTACATTTGTGATCCCAAGATGAATTTATCTGTGTTATTTGGTCCCAAAAGAGTCGGTGACGTCACTGAGATCAGCCCTCAGCTGCTGCATATTACTGCCAGTTAAGTGTAGACAAGATGCTTTGGAGCTCATGTCAGCTGTAGCTGTTTTCATTGTTTGTCTGCTGTGTACAAACAAATGTTGTGTTGGTTACTAACAGCTTTCATTAATGGACACAAGTAGTACTTTGTGTTTAGAATCTATTTCAATAGATTTAAAAAAACTGATTTTAGCACATTGTTCATCCAAAATGAAAAGGACCCATTGACATCTCCTGATTAAGCCTTTTTTTGTATTAAATTTGACATGTTCTATATGTGTTTGTGACTGTGTCATGTAGCACTCATTTTCTTATCTTGCTGTTGTTCCTCCAGCCACGCGAGAAGCATCACAGCACTGACGACCATGAAGAGAAAACCTTCACAGGACACAGCTCCAGCAGTGTCGAGCTCTGGATCTTCCAGTGGGACAGAAAGGCAAGTCTTCACATTGAGATAACTGTGCTGTTCTAATATGTTTTGGGTTGGGTATCATTTGGATCATTTTCCAGCAGCCGGAGCCAAAATGATACAGTTACCTAAAAGGAGCCTGAACTGACACTTAAAAAATAAAAAGCACTGAACAACAGCCGACAACATTTTTAAATGCAAAGTCAAATTTGAACGTGCAATTGAACAATGTATTATATCTTAACAGTTTAAAGTATACTTAATATATAAAAGGATTAATAAATTACACTTAAACAAATTCACATATTAAGTAAAACCTAACCCTATAATAGTTCAGTACTAAATAACTGTTACACTACTAATAACAGCAAAATATGTTTTGAGTTGGGATCAACAATCGTCTCAATAACTCAATAGAGTCTCAGACAGACGTGAAACAGGCAGCTGAGATTTTCGCGACACACAGTCTAGTCTAGTTTTTACAGTCTGTGTTTTGTAATGATTCAAATAATTATTCATTCCCATGTGCACTCAGGGTTGTTGTTGTAATAAATAATTGACAGGATGAATCTGTGTAATTACAGTTTCGGACGGCTTTACAAGAGAAATGGCAAAATCTACAGCGTCTACACCCTGAAATCTGATAAAGCCTCCAGGCACCTCTCTGAGTGGCAAACAAGGATTGTGAAGAGGAGGATCACAGGTGAAGAGGGGATGCCTCAGTGGAGGAACCTTCAAACAGATGAAGAGCCCAGAAGTCTGGATGTGGTGCCCCCCACACCTGCAGCAGCCACATCAGGACTGGTCCAGAGATCTGTCGGGACAGATTCAGGTAAGAGACACACACCTGTTTGCCTTCACTGTAGAGTGTTAGCTTAACCTGTAACTCTTACGCCAGAATTCCACTGGATGCGTGTCCGTTGCGGAACGGCTGCACTGGTTATCCGCTGCGTGCTTTGCCGTCCGTCAACACCCACCGGCTGCGTTTGCTGTGCGGAGCATAATCGCGCGATATAACAAGATGTCGTTTCTATAAACAGAACCACAAAACCAGAGGAGTAGTAGGAAGACATCTGGGTGCACCTCCATGATTAACATCTCCTCGTCCATGGTGTCAACGGGGTGAAATGACGTCTGAAAACCTCTGACCTGTTGACTTCAGGCCTGCCTCCGCCCATTATGACGTTTTCAAGGTGTAGTGCAGGGAAATATGATCCGCCGTGAACACTGTGTATTTTATTTTGAAAATTAACTGGATGTTTATTTTGTTTCTGTGCACGACTTCCTGCCCCGCACGATCTGCTCGGTGCTGAATTGTTGCGTTGTGCTCCGGTGTCCATCAAAAATAGAAGTCCTGCGTATCTGTTGCGGAGGGCTCCGGAGCGCCGCAGCTGTGACGGAGCCGGAACGCAGCACAGCCGCAGCCAGTGGAAACACACACATTGACTAGAATGGAAACGTATCGGCTCTGCTGCCGTTCCGGATCGCAGACACAACCAACACGCATCTGGTGGAATTTGGGGGTTAGTGTTGGTGAAATAACTAAATGTCTATTGATGCATTCGTTGTAACGATCCAGTATCATCACTGCAGAGTGAGAACATCGATTCATTTCATCACCTGTAGGATACACCTTTATTTTGAAAATCTGTGTCACCGTCAGACAGAGTCAAGCAGATGATGGCAAGCAACAACAAGAAGACGATGAGGATAACGTAACTTACTCAAAAATTATATCAGAAGTTTGGAAATATTTTTGATTTAATAGAAAATACAGGTGAACAGACGGAGCACATGCCGTATGTCAACAATGCTGATACGAGGTAAAATAGTCAGGAAACATGACGCACCTGCCGGCCGGGCATCTCACTCCGATAACTTCTTGCTTTAGCAACATTAGTTGCTCTGTTTCAACAATGTTCAGCTGAAAAACATGCACGCAGGCTGAAATTCAGCTGCTCTGTTCTGTCAGGAGACGCAGTGACTTAATCCACCAGTGAGTAAGAAAACGTATAAGTAATACATGTGATTAGTTAAGTTATGAGTAGAGGAAAAGTCTGCTAGCTCCTAGGCTAATTTATGCAACCTAAACATGCCTTAGCTAATTATAGGTAACTAGCAGAAACAACTGTTTTGCCTGTGAACTTTGGCAATTCCTTAAATGATGATTTATGGCTGCAGGGAGAAATTTGTCTTCAGGGTTTGGGTTAAAATCGAGCAATTTCTGACAGAGCCCTGAAGGCAGTACGTTATGAGCATCAAACACTTCATTTTCTGCATTCTGGTGATATTTTCTGCATCAGTTTATGGTGGAAATGTCTCAATTTATGTCAAGGAAAACACAATATTCTGGTGGTACGTGACAGTTCAAAATAAAAGTATAATACAGTAAGACTCTCAGGCATTCAATGTTGCTTTCAATCTTTATTCTCCTGTAAAACAACTTTTCTTTAATGTTATCCCAACTAAATCAACAGTTTTACTGCGTGTAAGTGAGGGACCATCTGCTGTGAGGTTTAAATGGTTCTGGATGTACAGAGTAGAAGCAACAACACACCTGAGGACAATTTCTAGATATTACAAGATCAGACACATGTAGCGGCTGCAGCTCAGCGCTCCTCCTCTCCTCCTCTGTGCTCTTTGCACAAGGCATGTTTGTGCAGCATCAAACTGCATGTCAGATTTTTGTAAATGCACTATCAGAGCTGCAGTGTGGGAGGCGTCGTAGTGAAACATCTTATGATGCTAAACACTGGTACACCTTCAGTGATGAACCCTGAGGTCATCGGGTGTTTAGGGTCTCTCGAACATCAGACACTCTCGCTTGGGTTGATCAGGCCTCAGTTTGTGCCCTAGCTGCACTCGCCCCTCGTCTCTCCCATGATGCAGAGTGCAGAGTAAGCCCTACAGAGGGAATCCCCTGCAGAGCCTCTGCACCCTACCGTCACAGGCAAGCACCTTGCCTTCCAGCCTCATCTGTGTCAGTCACTGACTAGGTCCCCACACTAACCCCTCTTGCGAACGACAACCTCCTCTTTACGGTCCTGTTCAGAAGTAAATATCCAGAGTTCTTTTTTAAGACTTTAATACTTAAAATGTTCTATATTTCTGGATGAAACTAACACTGCTGAGGATCATCACTGATCTCACCAACATCAAGTAATGATAGCAGAGATATGTGAAGTCACAGTTGTCCATAATGTGCTCCCTGCAGATGTCCAGCAGCTGTTGGTGATTAAAGATGTTCCCCCTGAGTGGAGCCCCAGCCTGGACCAGGAGGACCCAGAGCCCCTCCAAATAAAAGAGGAGCAGGAGGACCCAGTGCTCCTCCACATTAAAGAGGAGCAGGAGGACCCAGGGCCCCTCCACATCAAAGAGGAGCAGGAGGACCCAGGGCCCCTCCACATTAAAGAGGAGCAGGAGGAAGTGTGGAGCAGTCCAGAGGGAGAGCAGCTCAGTGGGCTGGAGGAGGCTGATATCACCAGGTTGACTTCTGTTACTGTGAAGAGTGAAGATGATGAAGAGAAACCTCAGTCCTCACTGCTTCATCAGAGCCAAACGGAGGACAGCAGAGAGACAGAGCCTCCAACCAGCAGCTCAGCTATGCAGATAAAAACAGAAACTGATGGAGAGGACTGTGGAGGATCAGAACCAGCCAGGAACCTTGATCCACATGGTCATTCACAACCAAATACTGATGATGAGAAGGCTTCAGACTCTTCTGAGACTGAAGACAGTGACATTGATTGGCAGGAACCCATGTCAGATTCTGGGTCTGAGACTGAAGATTGTGTCAGTGTTTGGAAGGAGACCAGGACAGCTGAGTCTGCTGTAAATGTTGAGGGATGTGATGCTGGCCAAAAATCCTCGAGCGTCTTTCAGTATAGTAAACAGTTAAATTACAGGGGGTTTGTTCAGAGACACATGAAAGCTCATTTTGGAAAAAGGTCCTCCAGATGTTCTGTCAGTAAGAAATGTTTTAGAGTGAAGGAAAACGTAGATGCACAGGTGAGCGACGACGCAGAAGAGAAACTGTTTGGTTGTGATGTTTGTGGGAAAACATTTAGACAACAGGGAAATCTGAAGGCACACATGAGAGTTCACACAGGAGAGAAACCATTTGGTTGTGATGTGTGTGGGAAAAGATTTAACCAGCAGGGAAACCTGAGGACGCACATGAGGATCCACACAGGAGAGAAACCATTCGAATGTAAGTTTTGTAAGAAAAGATTTGGAATACAGCATCACTGGCACTCACACGTGAGAACCCACACAGGAGAGAAACCGTTTGAATGTGACGTGTGTGGGAGTAGATTTAACCAGCAGGGAGGTTTGACAAGACACATGAGAACCCACACAGGAGAGAAACCGTTTGGCTGTGATGTGTGTGGGAAAAGATTTTTACGGAAGGGAAATATGAAGAGACACATGCAGAGTCGATATTGTACTGTTCAGGTTGTTGTGAAAGATCAATAAAGAAAATGTGTTGATAACAACCACGATAATTTCCCTTGTCTTTTATCATATTGTCTTGTCTGTCTTTTGTCCTGATGTAAAAATGGGAAAAATATGCCATTTGTCAGAGGGAAGGGAAAGTGTTTCCTTAATATCTGATAAATATTTATTACCAGTAATGACAACATGTAGTAGGTCTGTACTGGTGGAAACAAAATTGAATATTAAGATCTGACATAAAGTAATATACCTCTATATAAAACGCATATTTAATTTAATGTCTAATTAATACATACTTTAAATGAACTGATCCAGTCAGGTGGCACAGTGGCTTAACAGGTAAATTAGTTGCTGGAAACATCCCTAGTTTTTAGGCAGTCATAGAAAAGAATTTGAACAGATTACAGTTGTTACAAAGGTTGTTCTAGTATCAATACATTTAACAAAGAGAAAAATCGGTAAACACAGTTAAATATCCACATCCGAAAACAAAATTTTGGCACATCAAAACAAGAAGCAGGAACAATTGACCACACTCCTTTTATGAGTTATAATCATACTTCAGTTACGGCACAAAACCGCCAGTTCATACAGTAAAAACAAAAACAAAGAAGTAATGAGTGGAAACGGGAGAAATCACTGTTGAATAATAATAAGGTTAAATATTTTTTAGACAATTTAAAACCAGTTTAATTAATGAAAACATGAAATAAGACAAAAAGCACAGTGCCCAGCAAAAATGACAACATAACGTAGACACAAATCATACAGAATTTAGTGGAAAACCTTATTTTGGAGTCTGTATCAGCCTCAGGTCTGACAGTATTTAGTTGATCAGTGTTGAACCAAGGCTCAACAAGCACCTCTGCAGCTTCACTTATTACTGCTGCTCTCAACAACACACGTGTGTTTTTTGACTTGATCGCACTGAAAGAAGATGATTTCCTTCCTATGTGGATAACCAAGTGTTGTTTCAAGGTTTGAGTTTGTGTGAATGTTTTACCACAAACTGAACAACTGAATGGTTTCTCTCCTGTGTGGACAACCAATCGTTGGCTCATGTGTTTCACTAAATTCATGAAACTTTTTTTACAAACTGAGCAGCTGAATTTTTTTCTTTTTGTATGAACTCTTGAGTGTTTGGTCACTTTTGAACATTTTGCGAATGTTTTACCACAGACAGTGCAACTGAAGGGTTTCTCCCCTGTGTGGTCTCCAGTGTCTTTCTCCCCTGTGGTCAAAGCTTCCAGCACATTCAGATGAGCTAAATGAAGTTTTTCCAGATTTACATTCCATATCACTGACAGGTACTTCAGTGTTTTTCACAGAGTTTAAACCTGACAGAGGTTCTCTGGTCTCCTCCCAGTCATCACTGTCTTCAGTCTCAGAAGAGGCTCCAGTCTTGTCGATGGTGTCTGGTTTCAAATGTGTACCTGGATCTGAGTTCCTGGCTTGTCCTGGTCCTTCACAGTTGTTTCCATCAGCTTCTGTCTCCACCTGGTCAGTTTGTCTTTTGTTGAAGCTGTGAGGACTGAGCTTTCTCTTCATCCTCGTCTTCACTCTTCACAGACACAGGAGTGAATGTGAACTTGAGTTCCTCCTGTTCCTCTTTAATATGTGGGGACTCTGGGTCCTCCTGCACCAGACTGGAGCTCCACTCCTGCTGCTCGGGGGGAACCTCTTCTTTAACCGCCAACAGCTGCTGGACGTGTGTGGAGAGTAATGAAAACATTTCATGTCTCCAGCGTCACTAACTTTTCCTTTGAATGATGTTGATGTACTTGTTAGGGATGTATGATAATATCAACATGTCATCAGTATCGCCCAATATTGGCTTGTAATGAACTATTAGAATCAGCCAACATGCTTTTTTAATTTTGCACTATGAATGAATTTTACATACACTGAAAAATTGTATTTCATGTCTCCATCTGCTGGTGGGCCGTCACAATAAAAGTATATATGTATGATATGATGTTTATTCCACTACAGAAGAGACCTGATGATCACTGAAATTAGGTAAGGAAAAAAAAAGTGCCCCGAGCAAATTGTTGTGATTTCTTTCAAAAACACGAAAAGAAAACAATGGGCAACAAAGGCAGAAATGACCCTGAAAATTGCAAGAAATTAGTAAAAAATTATAACAAGAAAATTACCATAAAAAAACAACAAATTAGTAAGTAAATAAAAAGAAAAAAGGTCAAAACAAACACACAAGGAAATGACCTAGAAAAAGTGTTTAAAATGATTTAAAAAAATAAAATAAATCTGTAACTTAATAATAATATTTACTACTATAGTTTTCCCTAGCTTTTTTAAATATAATTTTCTGAATCTACTATTTTTTTGCAATTTGTTGGACACTTCTTATCAAGTTGCACATTGCCCTTTTTCCCCATGTTTTTGAGAGGAATCGCTCCCATAGCTCAGGATTCAACCATTTAAATACTTGCTAAAGGTGTCTAAAAGCTGCACAAGAAAAGTGATGTCGCTCCAAGTTTCAAAGGGTTAATGGAGCAAATAAACAAAAAATAATAATGAAAATAACTGTTCAAACTGAGCTCCACCTCCTGATGATCTACGTGAAGGAAAGAGCGGGATTCAACGGGGAACAAATGGTTTTCAACAAGACCTGGTAGCTGGAACAGACCCTTTCGAGTGGACTCCTCACAGATCTCTACTGTCTCGAAAATTAAAAACAAAAACCCACACACACGTTTTACATTAATGAATGAAAAATAAATTAATAAATAATTAGTTTTAAAAATAATAATTCTTGAATCTGAATTGATCCACTGAAGCCAGTCGGACTAATCAATAACAGAAAGTTGGAGCCAACTAATCTTATCTTACTATATAATGACGAAAACTCTGTGTGTGTGTCTGTTCCATGTTTTTCTCCTCACTGACTTGGTCAATCCATGTGAAATTTGGCACAGTGGTAGAGGGTCATGGGAGGATGCCATTGAAGCAATATTACATCAATTGGCCAAAGGGGGGCGCTATAGCAACCTATTGAAATGTCAAACTTTGAATGGGCATATCTCATGCCCCGTATGTGGTAGAGACATGAAACTTTGCATAGAGATGCCTCTCCTCATGAGGAACACATTTGCCTCAAGAACCCATAACTTCCGCTTATATAGATTTTCCGCCATTTTGAATTTTTTGAAAAACACTTCAAATGGATCTCTTCCTAGGAAGTTTGAGCGATCTGCATGAAACTGGGTGAACATAATCTAGGGACCAATATCTAAAGTTCCCTCTTGGCAAAAGTTGGAAAACTTACTAAAACTGAGCTTCTATGAGGCAATGAATATTGCGGAGAGCGTGGCTCATCACATAAAGGTGTATAACATCTCAAGGGTTTCACCCATCACCACGCAACTTTGTAGGCATATGACCACACATAATCTGAGGGGACCCCTCCATTATTGACCCCATCAAACAAAATGGGGGCGCTAGAGAGCTCATTTCTTATCTAGGCCTAACCGCCATATGGATTTTTACTAAACTTGGTAGATATGTAGAACAGGACGCCTCAAGGTGACTGGAGAAATTTAACTCTAATTGGCAACTGGGTGGCGCTATAACAACAGAAAAATGCTTCAAAATGGCTAAAATGCGACCAATCGCTGTGGCTCCCCCTGTGGACCAATGTTGGTGTTGTTTCTAATGTTTGGTATGACTAAGTCATGGTATGGTATGCTGTACATAATCACGGAAACTGTCAGTGTGTCATTCTGTCAGTCAGTCATTCTGTCTGTCCCACGTTTTTCTACTCACTGACGTGGTCAATCTATGTGAAACTGCACTTAGGCATTGAGGATTGGCATAGGTAGAAGGTGACAAAGCTACCAATGGGTATGGACTAGTAGTAATTGTATTATCATGGCATGTTAAAAGTTCGTCCACCAGGCATAGTGTGGCATATTATTTATTATTCACCATAAATACTTTGAATGAGTGACCTGTTGTATTTTTGATTGACGGGAGAGTGTAAGCCTCTAATTGGCCAAATCAAAAAATGATTGAGAGATACCACGCCCTAACAAAGTCCAGTCTGCAGAGACACCCTTCTCCATATTCCCTTCTCACATTTTCTGAATTTATTTATATTCTGTGGGTTGAACGGAAAGCTTTGGCGGGCCAGATTTGGCCCAGGGGCCACCAGTTGACAATTCTTAGTACAGGCAAGGTTTTTTTCCCCCATTGTTTTGGGTCCAAAACACTTTATTTATAACAAAGAAGTGTACAACAATTGCCAAAAAAAAAAAAAAAATCATATCAGGGGTATTGAAAGTCCAGAGTTCAAAGACAGTGCATGTCCTTTAAATTGTTCAAAGTCTTTGTAGCTTTTTTGTTCTTCACATCTGCTACTGTACTAAGGTACCATACTGCTTGAGTTCAACAATACATCGGCTAAAGCAGCATTTGGAGTTTTGATTTATGGAAATTGAATTTTACCAAGAATGATCAGAAGCTGAACAGTGTAGCATTGCTATCCATCCCATAGAAGACAAAATATAACATCACATCAGATCCATTAATCTGTTCATTAGGGCTCATTTTCCTTTTTCTAAAGTCTTGAGTATCTGTTGAATAAATGAAATACTGTTTCTCTATCTGAACTACAAAAAGCACAAAATCTACATTCTGGTACAGGCAAGTCTGTCTGAGATGGAGGCGTCGGTGGCTTAGTGGACAGAGCAGGCGCCCCATGCACAAGGCTGTTGCTGCAGCGGGTCAGGTTTGACTCCAGCCTGTGGCCCTTTGCTGCATGCCATTCTCTCTCTCTCTCTCTCTCTCTCTCTCTCTCTCTCTCTCCCTTCACGCTTAGCTATCCTGTTGATTAAAGGCAAAAATTCCCCCAAAAATATCTTTAAAAAAAGTCTCTGGGCAAAGTTTTTAGATTTCTGAGTTGAGTCTTTCTCCTCCCAGCAGGTGGCGGTAATGCAACAATTCGGGTACCAGCCCATTAAAATATCAACGACGAAGAAGAAAGAACCGGAAGTGCCTGGTGATGCGCTGGTGGTGGCTAACCACTTTG